TGTTTGAGCCTCCGCCCACCAGTCACTATTTATAGCTGCTCTGTGGTTTCCACCAGCCGAGCACTTTCCACTGACTTCGGTGCAGGGCAGTTCAGCTGCTGTGGCCCCCCGAAGGCTTGATTAAAAACACAGCTTTATGTTGGTATAAGTGCACACTCTGACAAATTATATTCCTGCGAGGACGCATCTGACGGTGTAATAAAGTGGAAACAGGCCACAAGATGCCAAATTGTGAGGCTCCCTGCAGCTTTCTGACATAAATCTTCTTTAAGACCAAACTTTCCTGATTGGTCAGAGTTTAACTTCATGTTTACACTGTGTGTGTTTTTTTTTTATGATCAGTCCTATTTTGGGATCATTGTTCATATTCTGTGATCCACTCCCATTTGTGCAACAGAAGCTGATCTACACTAGTTACGGTAGCGTCTTATCCTCCAGTGTTCTCCATCCTCTGATAGACCACCCGGCCCACATGCTGTTTGTTAGTATAAGATGTTACACAGCTAGTCATTGTTCAGATAAACAGATACAAGTATTTTAAGATCATCCAACAATTGTTGAGATACTTTCAGTCGGGTCCAAAGTGGCGGACCAACTCCTAGCTTGGTTACAACAAACAGGCAGAATTTATTGACAGTGTCTGGCCCTACTGGCAGCAGAGGCTGGTACTGACCTGAAGTAGTGATCACAATTGAGGAGTGGACAGTCTATAAAAAGCAGCCTGTAGTCGTAGTACACAGTGTGTTCTGGAGGGCTTTCCTCTGGCCCTCCTTTGAAGCCACACTCCTCCAGCGAGCTCCCTGGGGGCAGGCAGGCCTCCGCTCCAGGCACCATGCTCCGGAAAACCTCCAGCCTGGAGGTCTGGATCCCTACCCGGTCCTCGATGATCCTGATCAAGCTGAAAACTTTGCTCCTGCTCAACAAAACCACCTCAAAGTTCCCCAGGTGGGCTTCAAAGGAGTCAAAGGGAATCAGCCTGACTCTCAGCCGGATAAACCTGCTGTCAGTGAAAGTTAAAGTCAGATTTTAGACCAGACAGAATCAGTTTCATGTAAGGTCGCTCTGGGTGGTGGGTTATACATTTTTGCTTAGCACAGTGTAGCTCTTTGAGAGTGTGACAAATTACAGGTTAAACTGACTTGAGCTGATGTTTTATCAACCCTGACCTATTGGTTCTTTGACACACTAAACACCAGCAACACACAGTATCCTATGTGTTTAGACATTGTAATTCTGTGACACATACCTGTACAATAAAACAATCATGGCAGCCAGGTTAAAAAAGCAACAACACCTTTCTGAAGGCTGTCTCCTTTGTTTACATAGCTGCCGAGTCTATGTGTGTGCTCGAGTTGTAGTTCTGGGGACCTGAATGCAGTGCAGTGTACTGCTGGTCATGTAGCTGAGGGTCCGAAATAACTCAGGCTGGTGAACCTCAGACATGGAGGGTTGGCCTAAATGTCAACACGGCCTGAAGTTGTTCCAGTTCAGCCACGCAAATTGTTTCATAATGTTGAGACAAGCTGCTGCTCTTTCTATTTACTCTAAATACAAATGACAGCCATTGTGTGGCTTCATGTTTGTACTGAGCAGTGGGCACAACATCATGGAATAAAAAATTTGCTGTAGCTCAATCTAAGTGAAACAATGTACAAAACCAGATGTTTTCTTCTTTTCAGTCGATATTTAAGTTACATTCTTCGTGAACATCATGATTTATAAACTGAGTCTGCGTTGGCTGCACTTTGCCTCATTTTGTTTTTATCAGTGGAAAATACTTTTCATATTTTAGGATTTATGTTCCTATTTTTTATGAGTCATTTGAAAATATGCATAGCACAAGGTGGATAGAAAGTCAGATGAGTTAGAATATCATGCTTATTCACTGTAAAATCTTAATCTTAAAGTAACTACAGCTGTCAAATAAATATAGTGCAGTAATTGTTAATTGCTAATATACAATGGCTACCTGTATTTTTCCAGGTTTGGCAGCTGACCATGAGCACATCTTTCCAAACAGGAGACGCCTTCTGTCTCAGCTGCTTGTGTTTTTTTTCGAAAGTCCTCCTCTGACATCTGTGTGTCGACCTCTGTGCTGCTGTCGCTCAGCCTTTAATGGCAAAAATACTGGTCACAGCTAATAAAAGCAAACACACAGACAAAACGATATTCATAAAACATAAATAGCTCTGTGTTACCTCAGTCTCTGGATTTGTCTGTGTAGGTCTTGATAACTTATCATGTTGTCTGCAGTCCTCAGCAGCTGAGTCAGTGTGTGGAGCTGAAACTACAGAACAGGGACGCCCAGGTTCGTCAGACCTGCACAGTCAGAGACACATGGGTCGGAGATAATGGAGTTTCAGACGATCTGAAACGTTTCAACCGCCAGCCTGTACAGATTCTGTCTAAATGTGAGTCAGCCCTGATAGGAGTGTTTATGAAACAATATTTAATCCATACTGGAAAAAACCTTTGTCTGAAACACACATTTACAAGTTTCTTAAAGCTGGGTCTGCAAGTCTTAAAGCAGGGCTTCTTAATGTTAACGTTAGGCCATGTCTGTCTCTTGGAAACAGCATACAGTCCATCTTCTCTAACAGAAAAAATGCATTTTATTTTCTTGGAAGCAAAACACTGCTCCGACAAGGAATTTATCTCACGTTTCAAAATAAAAGACATTAATTCTAGATATACCAAACAGATTTTAAAGACTCTTTTGGCCCCATTTTGTTTCAAATTTTTAGTTTTCAGGATTTTAAGGAGGAATCTTTACTACAACAAAAACAGAGGAAACAGCATTACAAACAAAGACTATAACATACTGTCAGTTTTCTTGTTCTTTGAAAAGGGGCGATTTGCAGTCTGCACAAAGTTACAGTATTATCCTGCAGGTCTGAGCTGAAACCTTCTCAGATATCTTTCAGCACCAAAGTACAGTTTCCTCTGTGAGCCTGAATTTGACAGACAAAAGAAACATTGTCCTGGTTTTGTTTCCCAGAGACGGCTGCTTTAATCTGTGAGGAGGGATGAGAGGAAATGACACTGCTCGCACTATCTAGAGTCTGATTCACAGCACCCTTCATAAATACTTCAGTACAACCACACTGTGGCACTTAGTTAATAGTGACTCCCATCTCTCTTTGTAATATTTGTCCTTTCAGGATTATCTTTCTCTGACTTACAAGGGTGTTTTCAGTCTGAGCTCCCCCACATCTTAGCATGGAAACCCAGAAAATGCCATAACTGCTTCCAAAAGAGCAAGAGGAAGAGCAGCGGAGAAGTTTCTCACAGCTTTGTCAGAATGGGGGATGAGGCTGTACAGAGCAGAGAGATTACCCGTCTTGAAATCCTTCAGGGTGACGTATCCACCTCTGTCAGCGTCACTGAGGCTGAAGAGCTGATAAACCTGCTGCTGGTGATCGGAAAACCATTTGATCATCTGCTCCAGGAAACTCTCAAACTCCGGCCTGTTGCACCTGAAGGCCTCAGATGTTTTGTCCATAGAAACCTGCAACCATGTTTCAGACAAATCACACATGTGGTAATGGCACTTAGTTATAGCAGCACAAGTGGATTGTTTTGTAAGGTTAGCTGGGGTTTGCATTTAGAAGTGTCACTTTGACATGGGTGGCTTCATTAAAATTTTATTGTTCCTTATGGTATAGTATTCACTTAGACATCCCAAGGTGGTTTAGCAAAGGGCCAAAATATGTGCACAAGATTTGGCATCTAACACACAAGACAGTACATAGACTTTGCAGCACAATCAAAGTGCTTTCACACTATTTGTCCATTCAATCATTCACACTCATTCAAGCACATACACACTCAGACAGAGGTGATATCAATGAGAGCAACTTGGGGTTCAGTGTCTTGCTCAAGGACACTTCAGCATGTGGACTGGAGAAACTGGGAATCGAGCTGCGAACCCTTCTTTTGGGAGACGACCCACTATTCCTCCTGAGCCACAGCTTTTATGTCTCCTCTCTCCCACAGTGTATGTCATCCCACTCCCTGTACCTTTCTGCATGTTTCCCTGGCTCCTGGCCACATCAACATTGCCAAGCGCTTGGGGCGGATTTGTGAGTTTTTGTCAGTAATAATGATAATAGTAAACTTTACTAGTAGCTTTACTATGCAATGTGCCCTGAGGTGACTTTTTGTTGTGATTTGGTGCTATGCAAATAAAACTGAATGGAACTGAACTGAAAAGAAGCATATTTCTGCTTAACAACATGATCTTCTTTGACATATGTTATACAGTATATTCTGTGTAAAACAGGATACATCCCTCTTTACTGGAGCTAATGTGAAGGGGTCGTGAGCAAACAGTGCCTTATTGTGAGGGGTTTCAGGGCAGACTGGAAACCACTACAAGCTGATTTTTTCCAAAAGAAAAAAACAAAACAATGCACACTACTTTTTAGAGAAGCGGCTGCTCTGACTCTAGTATTTGAATATGATGAGAAAGTATTCTGCTGCTGATTTGGATTTACCAAAATTAATTTAGCTCATAAGTAGCATTTTGCTGTTTTTCCCCTTCTTAAGTGTGGGATTATGAAACTCACCTCGATATCACACTCAACAAGTCGTAACACAGTAAAGTGTGTTAGGGTGTGTTTCTCTGTTTCTGTGACTGTTGTGTTGTACTTTACATACTGTACCTTTTGGTGCTCTTTTTTGGTGAATTTTCAGGGTCGATGCCTTTTCTTTTTCATGTCAGCTGCCACGTGAAATGTCTCATCCCCACAGTTCTGTGTTTACAGGAGGCTCATCGTTGGTGTTGGTCACTTCATGACCTCTGCATGAGAACGTAAAATACTGCTGTTTATGCTG